AAAAAAAAAAAAAAAAAAAAAAACAACAATAACTTCTAATTTCTTTTCTTTTTTTTTGGAAAAACCTACATCTCCGTAACTCACATTTTTTTTTTACTAGATGTATTAATTTTTTCGATATTAATCATGTAATTAATGAAAATAAAAAAATAGAATGGATAATAATTCAACACCCAACAAATCACATATCTTAAAAAATACATTTATAGCTTGGTTAGGAATAGAAAGCAAATAACTTAACCCCGCAACCATTCACCTAGCCATGCTCTATTCCTTATTTCCAAACAAACGATAACAAAAACCCTTATTTCTCAACTAGATGCCTTACGATCTGTTGCAGCGGGACGAGGCTAGTGGCAAAAACTTTTAAACACCAAAAAGGAGGCTTTTGATTAGAAACCCTACTGATTTCAGCTGCAAACACCCTTTCTTTGCTACCAAATTTTCAGCGTTGACTTCACCATTCTCTCTACACATCTTCTCACCTGTCCCATTACCCAAATAAATCCACTAAGAAAAATAAAATCTAACAAATAAAATTGAAAACAAATGATGGAAAAAAATTGAAAATAAATAAATTTCAAGAGAGCCCAAATTCGAAGAAAGAGGGAGAGGACATGAGATAGATCTAAGAAGGGAAAGGGACTTCTAAAGAAGAAGATAGGTGGAAACCCAGGTTTAGATTCCTCCTCCGTTAAACGATGTTGGCACTTTACAAAATCAAGAGGGGGAGAAGTGGAGAAGATGATGATTAAAAAGAAGAAAAGTCAGAAGAAGAAGAAGAAAGGGAGGAGAAGGCACATGTCATCAACGCCAGCTTGACATCTATGCTATAGGTGAAGCCGAGGGACAAATGGAGAAGAAGGGTGATCATGCTTCATTAGGGTGATTTTGGAGAAATAGGTCTAAATTTCAAACTGCTCAAGACAAACTAAGGATAAGCATTTATCATAATAAAACATTATGTTTTCCTCTCAACAGAATGTGTTTTTTTTTTTTAAAGCAAAAATAATTTCATTTTATTTTAAGAGTGCAAGGGGTACTTCGAACCCGTTATAAGTGTTTACATTATATTCTAGATAAAGGCTCCTATGGTTGCTTTGTCCACCCAAAAATTTAGGTGCCCGTGTTTATCTCCCACAGTTCTACCTAGCAATTACAGATTTCTTAATATTCTTCTTGCTACCATAGTTGATCTTCATGCAGCTTGTAGGATTATGTATCCAATCTGAAAGTGAAAAGAAACAGCCACCCCTTTTACACTTGATCCAATTGAACGCCCTTACTTGTATTAGCTCAAACATCCTTCCCTTATTCGCCTCTTTTCCTCTAAACACTTTCTCATTCCTAGCTAACCATATTGTCCAAATCACTGCGAACCATATGCATTCCCATCCCTCCCTCTCCTCCGTTGTTTTTAGCATGTTGGGGTGTTGTTCAAACATCCTCTAACAATCTTTGTCAAGAACTGTTATTATTCCCCACCATTTGTAGCAAGCTGTCCAGAGTTCACATGCTAACTTACAATGATTAAATAAATGGGTAGAGTCCTCATTTTCCATGCCACATAATTCACACTTACTTTCAGACATGTCCTGTATTATGTCCCTTTTTAGCAAGTTAATCCTTGTAGGAATTTTGCCCTACAGCATTTGCCATGAGAATGCTGAAATTTTGCTGGGTATTAGTGTATTCCATGTTGTTTGTAGAATTGAGGTCTGTTGTCTGCTTCCTTGCTTCGTTACATGTGTCTAGTAAGCTGATTTTGTTGTGTAGTTTCCATCCTTGCTATGGATCCATTCCCACACATCTGGTTTTCCCCTTACTATTATTGTGTGTTGTATCTCTCTTTGAAGTTGCAATTTCTATTGTTCTTCCCAACTATATAAGTTCCTTCTCCACTATAGGTTCCATTCCCACGCATCATTGTTCCATCCTCCCATTTGAGATACTTTGTTATCCTTTCCTACAGATAGCATGTAAAGTCTGGGATATTTGTTAGCTAAACTCTCCTCCTCACTCCACTCATCCCACCAAAAATTAATATTTACCACTTCCCCAATTTTTAACTTCATCCCCTCATTTAACCATCCTCTTTTATCATCATCAATTTCACTCAACCTGCAAACATCCCTCCACCATATTGAGCCATTGTTAAAGCTCTCCCTCAACCAATTATAGCTCAATTCCTCTCCCTTTCCATACTTCTCAAAAATAACCCTCTTCCAAAGCCCTTTATCTGTACTTATAATTCTCCCCCATCATTTGCCTAATAAGGCCAAGTTAAAATGGGGAGAGTTTTGTTTTTTGGGCAATATCTGGTTTTTCGTGGGCAATATGGTTGCCTTGAATGGTAGTGTTGAAAATTTGTAGATACTGCCTCCAATAATTCTAATATGAGGCCTCATTTCTCCCCAAGCTTTGTAATTTATTTTGGATATAATGAATATAAATTAATTTCTCAAGAATTGTTACCTCATTTTTTTAATATTAATCAAATGGAAATAGCTATTTGTGCTATTAATATTAACAATATTAACAACCATAAAAGGTACATAAATAAGGAAATATCACTTATCATTAATTGATAATATAAGCTAAAAATGTTATATTTACACAATTATTTTGTTAGGATTGCACAAGATGACAAGAGAAAAAGATATCCACCATTTTCCTAGAATTTCATCTCATACTCTAAAAACCCAAAATCAAAAAATGTTACATATTCTTGCCAAATGCACATCCTACCAAAGTAGATACAAGAGCATGTGAGTCACTTTGTTGCCATGCATTTACATATTACTTACAAAAAACACATTCTGCAACCTTAAACCAAAGTTCTTTACTCCCATGCATCAAACCAAAAAAAAAAAAAAAAAAAAAAAAAAAAAA